AGGAGTGTCTGCAGAGGGGCTGAGCTTCTGTACCCAGGCTAGTGCAGTAATTAATCCTTTGTGATCCTGACAGATGCCTGCAGAGAAGCAGAAACAAAAGATCGTGGTCTGACAGTGATTAATGCATCATTAGTTGTCAGATTAAGACTTTTGGAAGTGGATAGATAAGCCCTAGGCCAGGTTGTTGATTGTGTTTGGGAAAGCTGCAGAGGCTGACAGTGTGGGGGGAGCTGGGCTTCAGCACTTACTTACCACAGGCACTTACTGTGCTTTCTCTGAAACCCAGCTGTTAACAGGACAGGAGGAGAAATGCCTGTGCAATTTATCAAAACAAGCTCTGCCTCGAGCATAGGATATACTTAAAAAGTGACAAAAGCCAGAGTCGACCCCAGCCTGTGTTACCCTGGCATCTTTGCAGGGTAGGGAAGAGGCTGCAGCTCATTGCTGTCATCCAGGACGCTGTGGCATCCCTGTGAAGGAGGGAAACGCAGCTCCTGCTGTCTGTGCTCACGGCTGGGAGGCTGCAGGGGCTGTTGGGGAGCTCCTGGTGCCCCACAGGATGGGCTGCAGAGAGGATGGGAGCTGCTTGGGGCAGCACAGGGATGTTCCCAGGGACAGCCCAGCCTCTCCTGCTGCTGCAGCAAAAGGCATTGGCTGGGGGACTGAGCTGCAGCTCCCTGGCTGGTTCCTGCTGGGGATGGGGACAGCACTGCCCGCCCTGCTGCCAGAGCAGGCAGCACTCACCTCAGAGCTGGAGGGAGATGTTTGGATGGGAGCAGCTCTGAGCACACCTGGAAGCAGCTTCAGAGTGTCCAGTGACTCAAAACAGGAGTCAGCGGGCAAGTACAGGCACCTCCAGGGCTAGGCAGCAGCAGAGTGGGAATATGGAGCTCCCAGATCACAGTTTCCAACCAGGGTGTCCAAATTCTGCCAAAATCTTTCTTAAGGTGCCTATGGTACTTGCCTATGTTTTATTGTAACAGCAGCAGCCTTTAATCTCTGTGGTTAATGCTGTAAGTTTGGGTTACTTCTGCTGAACCCTGTTTTGAAAGAGCGTGTCCCTGTGTGAATGTTGCTGCAGACAATCACAATATTTAATGTACAGCATCGCTCTGTGGCTCTGCCTAAGTCTCACACCGGTTTCCAAGCTTCTCAATATGTAGATTTTTGTCAGTTTTTGGAAGAGGGATTTGCTGAGGAGCAAATCTCCACAAAGGGCTGGAGAAAGAGGATGGCGGTAAGCCATGGTTAGCTTGGCCTTGGTTAGCTTGGCATGAACAGGGCAGGGGCTGAACACATCCCTTCACCTCAAGTGCCCAGCACTGCACAGGACCAGCACTGAAGTGTTAATTATAGTCACACATGGCTGTCCTGTGTTTGCCCATTTTCCTCTGGTTGTCTGGATGGAGGTGCTTTAATCCTTTCAGTTCTTCCTACGAAAAGCTTTTGACACCCTGTCCCATGGGGGTGATGAGTGTCACAATCTGATCCTGCTGTTCCCTGTGCACCAGGGGCTCTCTGGAGTCTGTTCCAGCTCTCTTCCAGCCTCAGCTCAGCTAGTTTCAGTTTGGAAGTGTTTTATTTTGTTTGCAGAATGTTTCCTCTTCTTTTCCCATTGTCATTCACTGTGAGGAGAACTGCCTCATTTCTTCTCCAAAGTAACACAAAGCAAAAGAGCCTTCCCACATCCTCCCAGGCAGGGCTCATTGTCTGTAGGGGCATCCAGCCTGCAGCACCAAGGAGCTGCTCAAGACCTTCCAGAAGTGAGCTCCCTTCCCTGAGAATGTGGAGCTGTATGCTTGGGCTGGTGTAGTTCCACTGATGTTGGTCCAGCTTATACGAACCAAAAATGTGGCTTAAAGTAAGTGAATCACTCTGCTGGAATGTAGCCAGCTCCAGAGCACACCTGTCCCATGGGATTGCTGAGAAGTGAAAGTTGCTTCCACCCTTTTTGACTGATAAGCCACAAACAAGCCACAAATCTGCCAAGGAAGAAAGGCTGCAGTGCCGTGTGTGAGTCCCTCTGCTCTCTGTAAAATGTCACCGGTGTTGGTGAGGGGTAGAGATGGTCCCATTATTTATAGGTCCCATTATTTATACAGCTCTATAAATGAACTCACACATCCATCTTTTGTCTTTATATTTTTTTCTTTTTTGAAATTTTCTGATTTCTCTGGGGGGAGCCCAAATTGCTGGTGCCAAGAGGCTTCTTGCAGTTAGGGGTAGGGCTCCAAACTCCACACCAAAAGGGATAAAGAAATGGAGAAGATGGAGGCAGACTACCAGGCGCTGTGACCCTGGGCTTTCCCTGGGGTTGCCCATGTGTGACATCACAGGATTTTTGCAAGGTGAAAGGCATCAGCAGCCGTGCTGGCTGATGGAGCAGGAGTGAGCACTGCCAGCCCTACAAAGCTGCGTCCTGGAGAGAGCTGCTGGGCTCGGAAAGTGGAGTTTATTAACTGCAGATTTTTACAGTGAGGCTGGCATGCCAACAATAGGGTCTGAACACAAAGGATCCCTTGCAGATATAAATCAGGGGAAGGCATCTCCAAAGGCTCCTGCCAGCCTGAGTCACACAGCCCCAGTGCCAAGTGCCAGCTGCTGAGTGGCAGCGGGCCCGCAGCTGAGTCACAGCTCAGGGGGCATCACTGATGTCCTGATTAGCAAACCCACTGCGAATGTGCTGTGCTGACTGCAGGGCACAGGTGTCCCAAACAGAGGGCTTGTCCCTCACTGATGGATAAAGGGAGCCTGGGGGGGCAGCTGGTCAGTCTGCAGAGGAAAAGGAGGAGGTGAGTTATAGGTCCTGGGGTGGCTCAGTTGAGGAGAGGCTTTAGGGAATAGCTAAAGGATTTACCCCTGAAGAAGGAAGTAGGGAAATGGCTAAGACTGTCCCAACTTCATAACCCTCCACCTGCTTAGAGGGGTTTAGAAACATCTTTATTGTGCCATTTTGTCTGCAGGAACAGATGGAAAGGCTGGAAAGGTTATCTCCTACTGTGCTTGATACAGTTCCTCAGCTGGAAAGAAGCATCCCTGGAGCTGAGCCAGTGCAGAACACATGTGTGTGCACCCTTTGTGTGTGCTGGCACAGCATCAGCCTTCCTGAGGGAAGGATGGGAGCCTGGGCCTCCCCTCCTGTGGCTGCAGTGGACTCACACTCACCCAGCTGGCTGGCAGCTTAAAACCCCCCTAGTCCTGCTGGGATAGGGACCCTTCCCTTTGTACAACATCCTTAAGGAAGGTTTAGTACATCAGGAACAGCTGTCAGGATGGTGAAAACAGCAAACAACCCTCTTGTGCTCCTCTTGTGCATTGTAATGTCTCTCACCCCTTGGCTCCCCTTCAAATGCTGGTGGAGTTCACTGACAAGTGAAAGGTTTCTAGGGGGTAAATGAGTAATTGGTCCTTTTTTGTTGGGTTTATTTGGGTTTTTGTGTGTTTGTTTGTTTGTTTGATTACAGGGGAAAGACCATATTTGGGGCCTGATGTTAGGTCAGAATTGGAACTGGAACTTTAAATACAAAGCCCCAAAAGCTCCTGTAGGCCTCTCTCAGCCTTGTACTCAGGTCTAAGACACCTGAGCACTGAACAGTTTTCTTGCTGAGCTGAACACACTGGGGAATGTGTTCTGCTGTTCAAATCTGTCCTGATCTCGTTAGTTTTCATGTCCTTTTAAATAACTGATCATCTTGAACCTTCCCATTTTGCTTGGAGTATAAACTTTTCATGGGGATGCTTTCCTGTTTACACCCAGCCTGCAGATCTTGATGTTAATCTTTGATTGGGACCTTCTTGGTATTTTTGTAGAGTAAATAAAGTTATCATATGTATCCAGAATAAAAATTCAGGTGAGAGCAGCTTGTGTGGGTGCAGGGATGAGCATTGCAGAGACAGGCAGAATAAAGTTCAGTTATTTTTCTTTCCTTTTTGTGCTGCAGGACAAATCTTCCCCAAAAATGGAGGCTTTGCCACATGTTTTCTATAACCAGCCAAATAAAATATTGTGTTTGTTAGCATTCTGGGTCAGAGAAATAACTCAGGCTCTGGGCTTAGCATTTTTTCTTCCTCACAGTGGCTTCTGCTGAATGATAATCTTTAAAACTATCAGATCCTGACCCCCACTGCACCTGCTCTGCACTGCTGCAAAAACTGCCCAGCAAGAACAAAGTGAGCTGGGTTGGTTGCTACAAGCACTGGAAACTTTCCTGCTCTGGATCAAGGGAAAATGAAGCTGGAGTGGGCTGGAGTTATTCACAGAGCTCAATGTATTGAGTAACCCAGTAGTTTTCTTTGAAGACTCTGAGTAGCTTGGTTTATTCAGCTTCTATTTTCACTGTTTAAAATTGATATTTTGTTTTAACAATAATTCAGTCTTGGCCAGTCTATTTATAAAAAAGTCTGCATTGAGTTTATCCATAACTATCCACCTCTGGAATTCCAATTTTGCCTATTCTCCATTTTCTCACAACTTGACAGTAGTCTGAGCTTTCCTCAGAGGGATGGATCAATGGATCGTGGTACAGAGAACAAGGTGGAAGTTTCAGTTTTCATTGCAATATAATAACAAAAAGCATCAATTTTTGTGGGGGGAGTATTTTGGTTTTGTTTTCCATTGAAACTTTTTCTTTGCTTGTGTTTTTCTGTTTTTAAACCAGCAAGAGGATTTCAGGGGCTCCATTTGCACGTTTATCCTTAGGAATGATAATGCTGGGATCCTGTTGAATTCTGCAGGACAGCTGCTCCTGACTGCACTGCATTTCTCCTGATCATTAGTCCCTCAATCTTTCCAAGTCCTTCTCTTTCTACCCCACTGGGGCTGCCCTGTGTGCCAGGCAGCTGCAAACCTGGCAGGCAGTGTGGGCACCAGGGATGCCCACTGCTAGAGGAAAATTCCAGGGAAGGAGGGTAAAGCACAGGCACTTTCTAGCTGCACCTTTAGCCAGGACTTTGCTGTTTTGCCACTAGTAATGGAATTGTATTTTTTTTAATCCCCCTTTCTCCCAGGTTCCCACAAGGATGCATGCTGTTCCCAGTGGTTCTATGAATGCTGCTGTGCACCCCACCCAAAGCCCCACTGAGGAGGGTCCCTGCTGATGTGGGGGGCCATGGCTTCACCTCCTGTGCTCCTGAGCACTTTCTGCTGCTGGCTTTGCTTCTCTACCTGCTGTTTATAGTAAGCACTCATCACAGATGTAAGCTCATTAATCACCCCAAGCCACGCTTCCCTGATTCCATTTATAGCTCTGTTCCCTCTCTATTCCTTTTCACAGCCCCCACCTTAGTCACCACTCGATTCTTGGACTCTGGGCTTTGCTTTTATTTAAGCTTGGAATGGATAAAGCATGAAAAAAGAGTGAAATTTGGAAAGGCAGACTAACATCACAACCAAGTGTATGTAGGATACATTTAGTGTTAGACTAAAGTATATTGGCAGAAGACTGGCAGCAAAGCTATTGCATTAAGTGAAATAGAGACCATTTACCCTCAGAGGTTAACAAACACAGGACAGACAAACAGGAGCCCTGTCACCCTCTTGGGATTTCTTGTGTCCTGCCAGCAGCCCAGATTGCTTTACTGCCCTCAGCACTGGTCAGTCCAGTGCTGACCTTGGCCACCAGCCTGGCTGGGAGTCCCATGGGCAGCCCACAGGAGGAGGGGAAGGGTCATGAAATGTAAAACTCTCTGCAGAGGTATTTGGGTGCCCCAACATACAGAGAGGCACTTCTTGGCCTTTCAAAAGTGTGGTGGATTGAGCACCTCTTCCCCCTCTTTCCCCACTGACCTCGGTGTCGGCAGAGCTGTTCCTGTCACTCCTCTCTTCTCTGGCTGCAGTTATGTCTGCCCAATAACTGGTTTTCTTCCTTCTCACAAATGTTGCCACAGAGGCATTGCTGTCACTCTTGATTGTCCCAGCTTTGGCCAGCAGCAGGTCTGTCTTGGAGCTGGCTGGCATTGGCCCTGTTGGATGTGGGGGAAGCTTCCAGCAGCTTCCTACAGAAACCACCCCTGCAGCCCCCCATCCTATCAGCACCTTCCCATGCAAACCAAATACACGAAGGTCTCTGGGAGATTGGAGGGGGAGAGGTGGAAAATTCCCATTTCAGGGATTGTCTGAAGAGCCTGACCCACTTGGAGGCCTTGGGAAACCTCATGGGGCACCTGTCTTCATGTCTAGGTTTCTAAACACCTTTGGCAAATCTGCTTCAAAGTAGTTCTTACTTCTGTTGAGCAGTTTCTGCCTGCCCAAGGCTGGGAGCAGAGTCAGCAGAGTGCTCCTGGCTGTGTGAAGCTGCTGCCCTGACAGTGCAGTGTGAGGGTTGTACAGATCCCAGGGATGGCAAATGACTCTCCAGCAGCATGTTCTGGCTGACATGGGTTTGGGATAGGTCTGTCAACAGCAGCTGGAGAGAGCTCTGGTCCTGGAAAACAATGTGTCAGCTGCCTGGGTTGGGCTGAATTCTTTAATGCTTTGTCTGAACCTAAAGTGTAGCAGTGTTGCTTTGGGATGAGCTGTGCTGCCACATGCTGCAGTCCTGCTGGTTTGGAGCATGGGTCTGCCTGTCCATGCCCAGGAGGGGCTGCCAAAGATGGACTGGCTTGCAGTGCTGGTCAAAAGCTGCACAGACCTGCAAGTCTCTTGTATTTATATAATTTTGTCAGTCTCTTTCCACATCTGAATTTTAAACATCCGTTACAAGGCAATGCTGCTTTAGTGGTGAGCCAAGTTTCTCTTCTAAAACACATGTTCCCTAAAGCCCTTGTCCTTTATTGCCTTTGTTCTGATTTATTGCCCTTGCCTTACCACATGTGTGAAGCACAGTGGAGGAAAAACTACCAAACCCAATAAAGCAGTCCTCTCTTCCCTCTTCCCAGCCCACATGTATCAGGATTAACACCCTGAATAATTTACATCAAGTGATTCAACAGTGAACTAACTTCTCTCTAATTTCTTACCTGCTCCATGTAAATATGCTGATGAAGAGGATGTTGATAATGTGAGGATTATGGTAAACCCACAAAAAGCTACTATGGAGTACTGAAAAAATGGGGTAGACACTAAATATAGAGAATGGTAGTGACATTAAAAAATAAAAATTGTTGACTTTCATTTATAAATAGGCATTTTGTGGATATAAATTTTTATGTGACTCTTATCAATGGAACTAAAAGGGCCTTATTTGTAAAAAACTCTCCCACAAAAAATCTTTTTGTTATCCCAGGGTAAGCATAAAGCACCCGAGGCATGCAATTGCTAGTGAAGAACAACAAATGTGGAAAACTAAAATAAAAAAAATTGTGAAGCTTTTGTGGCTTTATGAGATAGAAAAGTTCTGCTGAAGTTTTTGTTTGGGATACTTTTGATGGGAAGCTTGTTGTCATATTCATGCCTGTTATCTGTATTAGTTAACAAACAAGAGCATTCAAAAGCCTGCTTAGAGGCATATTTGTCTTCTTTTTCTTTCTTATTTTCCTTTTACATTTTTTTCCTCCTTTCTAAATAGAAACCAACTTTCCTAGCAGAATGTTTTACAGAATCTGCTTCCTTGAAACCAAAATGAGGCAACAGCTGTGCTTGCAGCAAGTTGCAACATCTCCTTGCTGGATGGAGGCACATCTTGTCACAAGTGGTGCTGGTAGCAAAACCTCAGTGAAAGGACCTGCCTGCCTGGGGGTGCTCACTCCTCTGAGGTGAGCTGCAGACACAATTTCACTTGCTTTCTTTGAAGAAAGAGCTGACTCCACCCAAGGTCAATGAACTGAAGCTTTAGTAAATCTAGATGAAATCCTAATATGAAATGATCAGACTGCTGCTTTGATGAAATCAGAGCACGAGTGTTCGAGTGTTGTAAAATATGCATCACAAAAAATCTTTAAAATCATAAGGCAATGACTTTAGACTGCTTTCAGGTCCAACTGAGCCATGCTTAGATAGTGTACTTGGTACCAAAGTCCAGTAAATTATTTGTATTCATATGTCTTGTGTGGTTCTTGGAAGCTTTCTGAATGTGCAAACTCTGTTTTGTTTAGGGGAAAAAAGGCAAACCATGCTTGCCTGCTGAAAAGTGCTTGTGAGAAGGTCTTTCTCAGAAAGACTTAACAGCCTTGGGCCCTTTTTTGTTTTCTTAGAAAACAGGAAATGAATTTTACTTCTGCAGTTGATTTCTTAAGTGACTTCCTTTCTACCATCACTTCTGGGTTCTGGAATACTGCAAAAATTATCTGAGGGCATTTTCAACACTTCAGAATTAAAATCAAATTGCTTGAAATTGTGCCAGCATTTTAATGAAAATTATTTTCTTTAAACCAACACTTGAGGACTTTCAATATTTTTTAATCACAAGAGTATTCTTAACCTAAACACCTTTTCTTTGTGGTTTTTCAAGGACCCTGTCTGCAGTGCTACAACCAGATGTGTCTTAGGATGCAATCAAATTCAAGATCTGCTCAGCTGAAAAGCAGAAGAGCGAGGAACCCTCATTTTCACACAGCACAAAGTTGTAAGTAGGTGTGACTGTGAGCACCATCTCTGCCTCTGTGCCCACAGAAATGTCTGGGCAGAAATACCAGCAGGGCTTTTGCTGCAGGGGGAAGGTCAGGCACAGAGTGAGCACTGGGGCCTGTGCAGCTCCCAGGTTGCCCTCAGTCCATCCACAAATGCTTTTAACAAGTGCTGTCACTCCTTTGCTGAGAAGGACACGTGTAAGCAAAAGTGACCCTGCAGCACATGGGATCCCAAGGCTTCCGTGTGTTTCCCCAACACATTATATTTTCTGATATTCACTGGAAGATTAACCAAATGAGAGCAGGCTGCCTACAAGATAGATTCCCTAATAAAAATGTTGCAACAGCCCTAACTTTCCTGACCCTTTCATGCATCATAGGTAAACTCTTTAAAGAGCTGGTAGCAAGGGAAGCAGTCTAACTCCTTAAGATCTCTCCACATGTAACCATTACAGTTACAACACTTTGACCTAGAGATGCTACAAAAAAAAAAAAAAAAAAAGCTACAGAAAACCCTTTCAGCCCTATGGACATGGCAGCCCTTCACATCATGACTCCAGGATATTCTTTGACACATATTGCCATATATTCTGAAGCTAAATGCTGTTACCCTCAGCTTGCTTCTGTTTTGCTATCCAGGCTGGCTGGGGCTGGAACTGCAGAGATGTCAGTGCAAATAGGGCCTCCCAGAGGCTTATGCTGGCTAGGAAAAAGATGTGGAATGTGTCCAAATAAGAAGAGTCTGGAAGGAGTTTGTGATGGTCTGTTATTTCACTATTAGCCAGGAGATGTGAAATTTCCTTTTCCGGATGAGCACATTTCGTGTTTTGCATAAGAAAGCAATTGCTTCTTGTAAGCCTTAGCATTTCTGCTAATTTAATGAGCTATCCATACAAATGGACTGCATTAGTCATTGGAAAGACCTTTTTCAAGCTCTACAAGCATGTTTTAGACCTCCTGATAAAGCCAGTAGCATGCTGGACTTTCACAAGCAGAAAGACCTCCCAAAGTATGCAAGTTATTCCTGGCATGTTGTATTCTCAACATGTCAAGGAAACATGGATTATTTTTACACAAACAGGCAAATCAAAATGGTTCCTTAGCAAGCTCCCATGAACATTCTTGGACACAGAGAAGGAAAAAATAAAGAAAAGTAAGAAAAATAATTGCTTCTGAATTAGGTTTCTTAGATGGATGTGTTGTCACACATTCAGAAGTTCATTTGCACCAGTCTGGACCTTTGATGAATGGTGGAGAGAATGAAGGATAAAACAGAAAGAACAAACAAGGACCATTAATTAATCTGGATATTATCTTTTACACTTGAGTGGATTTTTTTCCCCATACTGTGAATTTATCTTCAAATGTAGACTGTGATGAACTGCAAACACCTACGGAAGTTCTTTTAATAGTTATTAATTGAAAGGTGATGTGAAGGTGTTGAGAGGGAAAGGATCTCTGGAGCTGAGCAGGCCAGTGTGGAAAGGACACACCAACATCTTGCTGGGAAACCACAAAGCAGCACAGCAGCAGAACCCCTGGAGTGTCCTCAGCTCCCCTGACACACACAAATTCGGCCTTAGGTCTCACAAACATTGGAGCTGTTTTGAAACTCCCTGTGAAGGATTACAAATGCTGACTGCAGTTTCTAGACAAAGACAATAAGATATCACAGCTCTGGCCCCAGCTCGCTGCTTTATGTCTGAGCTCGTGTTACCATGTAGGGTCCCTATGCATGAAATTGCCTCAGCCAAAATCCAGTTCTGACATCCACCAAATAATCCTGTGATTTACCATAATCCTGTGATTATGGTAAAACAATATAAAGTACTGCCTGATCTCAGCACTTTTCCCATTTCAGTGTAAAGAACTCTTTTTCCACAGAGTGAAGAGATTTTTAACAGAAAAGAGGTGTAAAGCATGCATAAACAGTGACACTTAATGTGCATCCTCATGCATAGTTCCTTCTGTGGGTAGTGTGTTCACTGGTTCCATGCTCATGTTCAAATTCAGGAACAGCTCCTGCTGCTTGGGCTTGGTGTAGACTCAGCCAGCTGCCTTGAGCTTCATCTTGGCCCAACTACTGTCATTAATGCAATGGTACCAATAACTATCAATAATTATACCTTCACTCAGTGGGAGGGTGGTTTTATTGCAAGTACTTTAACCCAGGAAAAAACAAAAATGGGGAAGAGGGGACTTTTGTGCAGCCAAAACCTGCAGCAACTGGGTGCTGTTGGGTTTGGTGCTGGGCAGGGCTGGGAGCTGGACTCTGTGGGTCCCTTCAGCTCATCCTGGGACCTGTCAATGGCTCCTCACTGTGAGGTGCATTGTGTCTGCAGGAAATCAAAATTCACACTGCCTTCTCTGTTTTCCTTCTATTTTTCTAACCTTGCACCTCAAATTTGTCCTCTCTCCTCTGACAGGCCTCAAAAAAAAGCTTTGAATGTAGTGCCAGCACAACAGCACTGCCAGCAGTGAGAGAAAATAAGACAAGTGCCTCCAAGCTATAATAAATACTACTGTTATTTCCTATTGTTCATCTGAATCTCCACTCCTGAGAACTTGAGTTAAATCCTAAATTTTCCTTTTATTTTTAGGCAGAATATCCTGCAAGTTAAAAAACCAGTATCATAAGGAGGTCCTAAGATGGGGCTTGCTCCAGTTTTCCTGCTGAGCATGTGTTTAGGAACTGCTGCTAAAAAAAAGTCAGAGAGGATGGTAGTTGCTGTGCTGTCACATGGCCTGATACAGCACAGAATCTGCTTAGCATTCTTGAAGGGAAATTATCCAGTGCTGCAACTCACAATTTATAATTGGTTGCATATTAATAGCTAAAAAAGGCAATAAAATCCACTGTGTGTTTAAAAAAAAAAAGTAAGTAGGAGTATTACAAGATGAGCAGTGAAAATCTGGAAGACTTTTGGCTAGAGCAGGGCTGTGTGCAACGTTGTTTCTCCAGTATTAATTACAAGCAATTTAAAATAATCTCCTTCCTTCAAGGAAGGAATTTGTTCAGCGTTTTTGTTAATTTTAATCTTGCTAACGTGATACTCTCTTGGAACCTCTCCCTTGTGTCATAACAGTGAGACATGCTGCCTCTTTTTTCCCTGCCCTTTGGGAAACACAGTTACTGCTGCTGCTCATTGCCTAACTCTGCTGTCGTGACTGTCAGTACACCTCCCTTGAAAGGGAAAGAAACTAAAACTCAGCAGCAGAATTGTTCTTCCCCCGGCCCCCCCAAGTTCACTTTTATTTGTAATATTTAAGCTAGACTGTGTGAGTGTCTCAAGAAAATCGGGGGTTTAAAATGTATGGTGCTGTATTAGAGTGGAAGGCTTGTTATTCAGCACACTAATTATTTCTGAGTCACTGTATTTATGAGATGTCATGTAATAACTACTTCACCACCACGAAAAATAAATAGTGCAAAAGCAGGCACTTTATGATTTTGACATTTTAGTGAATAAACATATTTCCAAATCTCTCTGGGGGCTACTGGGAATCTGATAATGTTTTTATGACATCTAAAAAAATGACATTGCATTTCATAATCTGTAAGACTCCATATATATTTTTAGTGTTGAGCATTTTATTACAGCCTCAGTGGTTTATATTGCAAGTGTCGGCTGCAAAGGGAAAACGTACAAAGGTGGGGTTGTGGAACTGGGGAGGAACAAGAGGGTAAAGCCTTGCACACTTTAAAACCAGTGGACCAGCTGTAATGGCAGATCCCAGGCCATGCTGAGACACCAGAATTCCCCTGCAGCTTTTTTCATTTCAGGATGGATTACAAAGCTGTTGCTGAAGGAGGCCTCCTGCTCACACTTATCACTAGAGGATAAGTAAGTCTGGGGTTTTGTCAAGCCCTGTGTGAATGACCTGTTAAATCCAGAGTGACTGGGACACCTTGAGTGACACTCCAGGAGTGAGTACAGAGGGGAAGGAGGATGGGTTGCTGCCCCAAGTGGGCTTCTGAGTAGTCCTGCATGGTCCCTGAGAACAATGGGGGGACGCTTACCAGAATATGTGACTTCAGAAAATGCTGTGCCTGAACCCAGGCCTTTGTGCTCCTCTGCAAAGTTTGCTTGGTGTTACTAAGGTTGTGGGTCATTTGCTTGACTGTTAGGAGAAGTGTCTTTTGACATAAGTTATCCAGCACCTTTTGGGAAAGGGACAAGGGATGAGGAAGCAGTCACAGCTTCAGAAAAACTTAAATTGTCACTGAAAATGACAGTGAGAAGTGAAAATGAGAGGAAGCCATCGCTGGACGATGGGGTCATTCCTCCCCTTCCTGACACAGAGCAGGACAGCAGCCTCTTGCCAGAGCTGCCAAACTGCTCCACGTGTACCTGAGTACACAACAGGCCCCTGGAACCGTGGGGGGTCTGGCTGGGTCCAGCTTCCTCCAGAATCCTCTGATTCCTTCTCCCTCAGGGAAACCCCCGGAGCCCTCCCTTGGTGAGACATCATAGAGTTCCACCCACTGAGGTCTTTCCTCACAGACTTCTGCTGAACAGGGATCCATCCCAGTTCTTCTCCCCACATGTCCCACCTTGCCCTGTTTCCTCATTGGTTGTGGTACCCCTGGTGCCAGCCCCTTCTGCCCTGGAAGCCGATGCCCTTTGCCCTGCCCTTGGTACCGCCCCCGTGCCCTCCCTGCTTAACCTTGTGCAGAGCACATGCTCTGCCTTTTGCCTCTGGTTCCCAAACAAACTCTGCAGGACTGACCATAGAAAAGGCTCTTCTGCCTCTCTTCGTTGAGCTTGCACGGTGAGTGTGGACTTCACTGCATTCCTGAATGCTTACCCAAGTGGCTTTTCCACAGGAGATTCTTTTTGGGAAACAGGTAGCAGCAACCACCATCTAAACCCCCCTGCTGCTACAGCTTCCTCTGAATTTACAGCAGTTGACAGACTGAGGTGACACATGCTCTCCTCAGTGCTTTCTTTGCTTGTTGGCATTAAAAAATTACAAGGAATGTGGAATGTGATCTACCATACATTTTGCTGGAAGTGGTGAAATGATTTACCCTTTCCACATTAGAACAGACTGGTTATCCTTAGAAAAATCAGCCCCCCCGAGCTGGTAGACAGAACAGAAAAAAACCCTGTCATGTAGGAGAAGGCAGATAGTAACCTGCTGTGCCACTTAGATGCTCACAAGTCATTGGGCAGAATGGGATTCACCTGAAGGCACGGAGGGGGCTGCTAGAAGGGCTCACCAAGGCACTGCCCATCATTCACCATCAGTCCTGGCTGACCACGGAGGTCCCAGGTGACTGGAGGCTGGTCAGTGTCACACCCACCCACAGGAAGGGTTGGAAGGAGGATCTGGGGAGCTCCAGGCCTGTCAGCCTGACCTCAGTGCCTGGGAAGGAAATGGGGCAGATCTCCAGTGTGATCACAGGGCACACACAGGGATCAAGGACAGCCAGGAGGGTTTTAGGAAAGGCAGGACCTGCCTGACCAGCCTGCTCTCCTTCCATGACCAGGGGTAAGTGCCTTGTTGAACACAGTAACCAGTGAGTGGACGTGGCACTCAGTGCTGTGGTCTGGCTGACAAAGTGGTGATTGGTCAAAGGTTGAACTTGATGATCTTGGAGGTCTTTTCCAACCTCAGTGATTCTATGAGTCTGTGATGTTATGTTGTATTTCTTTTCTGACTTTTCCATAAATACAAGTAGCTATTAAGAATGTCTCTGACTATTATATCCAAGGATAAGTGTTTGAGATACATGAGAGATACTCAGGGAATTGGTAAGCCTTCAGTAGAAAAAAATGTCCTGAGATCAATTTCCTGATTCAGTAGTGAAGTCGTCATATCATATAAAATGTAATGTGATTGTCCATAGCCCTAATAAAATCTTGACTTTTCCACCCAGCTTTCATCTATAAAAATCAAATTTATCTGGCACTCATCTGCATTTTGAAAGGGATAGGGATTTTTTGAAATAGATATGATAGTAATCCTTTATAGTACGTTAATATAGGAGAACAATAATTTGCTGCATTTTCTTCACACAGAAACAGTCAGCTTGGAAATGTGCATAATAATTGTCTTTGTCCTTCATTGTCACAGGCCATTAGCTAATGAATTTAAGCTGTGCTTGGCTCTTGCTCCAATAAGAAAACTACATTAGAGATCTTGTAGCCTTGGTATTATATAAAACCTTTCAGTGGGTTTTATTTTAGTCTCACTGGGCTGAGGAATGCATCTCGATTTTGTGGTGAGCAGTGAGGTCAGCATGGACTGATGTAGTAGGTCAAGCAAGCTGAAGGGCATCTACAGTTATTGAAGCTGCCAGGTACCAGACCCTCTTTGTTTGGTTCCTTGTACCTTAACCAAACTTTTCATGCCTGCTCTTGTGACAGCTTCTGGTTCATCTTTTGCCTGGGATAATTTGCTCAAGTCATTCCAGCAGTACCAAGATTCATGCTAGGGAAAATAAGTAGTTTGGGCAATGCTTTAAATAAACAACAGGCTCATATTTAGTTGCTCAGTTTTCCTGCTTATACAGTTTTCCCTCTCAACAAAGAGGCTGGCAAAGGAAAACCCTGTGATGGAAGAAGTGATCTTCACTGGCCTGAGCAAATGGGAGCTGTAGCTGCTGCACTGGACACAGGGATCTGCAGGCCAGCAGAGAGGTGCAGTGGGATTGCTCTTTGGGATGCCAGCTGCTGCAGCCTCCCAAGAGGCACTCCTGCTGCCCAGCCTTACTGGGACATGCCAGTCCCCCAGTGACTCTGTCCTTGTCCCCAGCTGTGACACGGATGGGAAGTGACAACCCTATTCCTGCTGCTTCTTGTGTCATTGCCTACTCACAGGAAAGAAACAACCCATGACTTCAGTTGGGTTGCTGCCACCTTTGGGCTGCCAGAGTGGTGTGCAGAACAGCAGGAGCATAAGGCAAAATCCATACCACTGTCATTTGTGTTTGGCATCTTAAAAGTATCAGAAAAAAGGACCTGAAACTTCTGGGCATTGCTTTGTATCTGAGCTTTTAGCTCATGGATGTCTTGGAAGGAGAATGGATGGTGAGTGTGTGGTGCACATCTTTTGGAGACACTCTGAGTAGAACATTGTTCTGCAGCATCATTCTGCTGTTCAGGGTTTATTGCCTCTGCACAAGCTGTGACACCACAGCAGTCAAGGGCTGGCTGTGGCAAAACATGGTCAAGTTTTGCTGTGTCCTGCAGAGAGAGATGGCCCCAGACAGCTGGCAGTGCTGGGTGCTTCACCTGCAAAGTCATGTGAGAAATGGTCGGGATTGCCACTCCTGTTAACAGGCACCATTCACTCCCTTACCTCTTTTCATCTCCAAACCCACACTCTGGGCTTTCCATGGCCTGCAGCCCTGCATTTGGCTGTCCCATCTGCCTCCTCGGGCAAATGTTTTGATGGATAGTGCAGGAGATGTTGTGAATGCTGTGCCCCAAGCCATGGTGTAGAATGAGGGTTGCTGGTGGCAGAAGCAGTGGCTGGAAAGCTCTGGTGCTCCGAGGTGTGCAGGAGGCAGGTGCCAGGTAGCAGCCATCACCCATTTTCCTAAACCGACAGCACTTACAGCCCTACTGACAGAGGTTGACTCACACCAGAAGTAAATTCAATATGCATGAAAGAACTCTTGTTCTTCCTCAGTGGAGAGCATAAAGACATACTGTCAGACAAATTAATCTCTCTCTGATAATTTTCTTTTCAACATCATTCAATTGTCATTTCTCCTGGGCTTTGCCAGAATGTTTGATGTATCCGTTGTTTTCCAAAACAGATTCTGCTTGCCTGGCGGATACAGGAATTTCTTCCAGGAAGAGAGATCATGAGATGCCTCTACCAGCCTTGTGCTGTTGTTGTGCAGGTCCTTTGCTGAGCTCTGGAGCTCTGGTTAGGGATGAGATGAAGGTATCTTGGTGGTTGATTAGGTTGCATCTCCTAGTGCAGCAATGGAATTGATCCCAGCACTTGACCTGGGCTGGGAGCACATTTGCTGGGGTTTTGGAATTCTACTTTTTTTTTACTGGAGAGAAACCCATTTATCCCTCCAGATCTTTAACTTCAAACGTGATTCAAGGTTGCCCCAGGCACAAGAGTGTCACCTATCTCCACTTAGGAAGTAGCCCCAAATAGAGGTTTCCTTTTTTTTTCAATTGTCTTTCTATATGGCTGACAAAGCCGTCACTCCTTCTAGGCATATGTGGAGTGTCAGTAAGATTCCTAAAACTAGTCAGAGAAAAAAAAAATAGAATTTCCCATCCCAAGACCATGGATGAAAGATATCTACACTGACCAACCTCCTCCTCCTTCAGCCTGGGACTCACTGAGGACTCTGCCATGGTCCTTTAGGCTGCATGTCCTCCATAGCTCTTGCAGAAGAGTTTAACAGAAATAACAGAAATAAAATTGTGAAGTGAGGGAAACGGGAGGAGCCCAAACATGACCACGATCTGGTAAAATAAGTCCTACATCCCATTTGTCAGCTCTTTTATTTTTGGAATATAACTGTCCCCATGTTTTCCAACAGTGTGACTTTAATATATACAGTCTAAAAAGTATAGAGGGAGACTAGTGATAACTCAGTTAAAAATAACTTGCAACACCATTTAAATCCCTGTGGGTTAATCTGGGCAAAATGAAGAACAGTTTCTGAGTCTGGAAATATCTAACTTGGCTGAGATTATCTAGTTTAATTTCGAGATTAACTAGAGATATTTATCTAAACTGGGTTGCTGCTGGTATTAAAAGTAGGAGCAGGAAACTTTGGAGTCATTTTTACAACACAGTTAATTGCTTGTCCTCTCAAAGCTGAGTCTCTCCACACCATTTCACGCCTGCCCAACTATCTCCACTTAGGAAGTAGCCCCAAATAGAGGTTTCCTTTTTTTTTCAATTGTCCCTCTATATGGCTGACAAAGCAGTCACTCCTTCCAGGCATATGTGGAGTGTCAGTAAGATTTCTAAAACTAGTCAGAGAAAAAAAAATAGAATTTCCCATCCCAAGACCATGGATGAAAGATATCTACACTGACCAACCTCCTCCTCCTTCAGCCTGGGACTCACTGAGGACTCTGCCATGGTCCTTTAGGCTGCATGTCCTCCATAGCTCTTGCAGAGGAGTTTAACAGAAATAACAGAAATAAAATTGTGAAGTGAGGGAAACGGGAGGAGCCCAAACATGACCACGATCTGGTAAAATAAGTCCTACATCCCATTTGTCAGCTCTTTTATTTTTGGAATATAACTGTCCCCATGTTTTCCAACAGTGTGACTTTAATATATACAGTCTAAAAAGTATAGAGGGAGACTAGTGATAACTCAGTTAAAAATAACTTGCAACACCATTTAAATCCCTGTGGGTTAATCTGGGCAAAATGAAGAACAGTTCCTGAGTCTGGAATTATCTAACTTGGCTGTGATTATCTAGTTTAATTTCCAGATTAACTAGAGATATTTATCTAAACTGGGTTGCTGCTGGTATTAAAAGTAGGAGCAGGAAACTTTGGAGTCATTTTTACAACACAGTTAATTGCTTGTCCTCTCAAAGCTGAGTCTCTCCACACCATTTCACGCCTGCCCAACACCATTACTGCAAACTCTTGTCCATTTGAATGTCTTGCATACATGAGCAGGTCCTTGGGGTTCATTTTAATGAGCTGTAACTGTGATAATTGTACCTCTTCTCCAGGCTGAAGGCCACACCACACATACATATTTCCACCCTGTGCTTTGAGATAATTCTCTTCAAGCACCAGTGTCCCATTGTGTGATGTTTGGGGTTCTGGTTGTACAAGCTGTTAGCTACAAATTTCCCCCCCTTAGTCTGGTAGGAACACCTTTTTGCGTAACCGATTATTTTATCACATCTGTAAGGTAATTGCTTCTCTACTGGCTTCCAAGAATGCCTCAGATTTGATCTATGATGGCCTCTGCATTCTTAATGCCTGTACTCCAAGGAAATGTACCCTGGTACTGATGAACTGTAGATGACTGATGCTGTAGATCCAGAGTTAACTAGGTATTCTCTTGAAAGGTGACATATATTATATTTGGGCAAAGAGGAGTTTCCTGAATAATCTTTAGAGACAGCTGTGTTATATTTTATTATTTCTCCAGTAGTTACAGAAGTGCAGATAACAGACTTTACATTTTTCCAGCTTATTATTCTGATTGCATGTCCAGCCACTGATTTTTGGATAAACAGGGGGCTGTACAACCCTCAGCACTGAATCTGCAGTTTCCTTAGTGCCACCATAAAGCATTTACAGCAGGTTAATTACAGATTCATTATAGTCAGGATCATGTCAAATGGGCATGGGAGCCAGGAAAAAAAGTCTGCCTCTGAACTTGTTCCATCTCTTATTTTCTCCCATAGCTCTTAGAAAGAGCTCCACCTGACTTCACCCTCCTGTCAGGGAGTTGTAGAGAGGGATAAGGTCCTTCCAGAACCTCCTTTTCTCCAGACTGAGCCACCCCAGCTCCTTCCGCCACTCTTCCTCAGAACTGTGCTTCAGACTCCTCCTCAGCTTCACTGCCCTTCTCCAGACACTCTCCAGCACCTCAGTGTCTTTTTTGTCCTGGGGGCTCCAACTAAACACAGAACTCACACAGAGGTGTGGCCTCACCAGAGCCCAGTACAGGGGGTGATCACTGCCCTGGTCCTGCTGGCCACATTATGTGCTGTTTATTCTAAAAAGAGAGGGAGGAAGGCATTCTTTGCCTCATTAGTGCTGCAGGATGTCGTATACAAGCATAATTACACTCTGCAAAAAGGCCAGGGAGACCACACAGGAAGGGTATTGAAGAACTGGAAAGGGTACAGGAGACATCGAGCATGACAAAAAATTGAAAGTTGCTATTTATGGACAAAATACTGGCTGCTTCTTTTGTTTTTTTGATTTTTTTTTCTTTTTGAGAAGAGAGAAGCAAGGGCTACTAAAAAGTGTAAACAATTTAATGGGTATAAAAAGGTAATGGCAAAACTCATTCAGACCATTGCAAGCTGACTGACAGGTGAGTTGATAATAAATTTGGAGAAAACATCACTAATCCAGAGCGTTCTGATCTGGAGCAGGGAAATGCTTTTTGCCGCGTGGGTTCTCCACCATCAGTGCCCCATCTTTTCTCTTGCTTCCACAAGCTGAATTGCATTGTGACTTCTGCATTTCAGGAATGCGACTCCTGTCCTTGACCTCCGCTGCAGATAAATACAACGTGCCCTTCACTGCTGAGTGGTTTGGGAAGAATGTCAGCCAGACAAGAGAGGGGTGAGAGAGGAAAGACAGGTGAGAATGTTTTTCATCTGCTCTTTTTCTGAACCATCCTGCTTGACTTTGCCTACAAGATTTTGGGCAGTGGGGTTAAGAGGAGCAGGCCAGGGGGTGCCTGGTGCCTCTGGGGTGGTGTAATGAAGCTGGGCACAGGAGAAGAGCAAGGGGGCTGTGACATGAGGCTGCCACTCGGGGAGCTGGCATTTTGGGTACCCCCTCTGGCACAGAGTCTGCAGGGGAGGCACCACAGGGTCTCACCACATACAAGTGCAGGCTCCAGCCACAGCAAGGGAATGGGAGAACAAACGATCCATAAGGAAGGGGGGCTGGTGAGTTACCCCAGCCCCTGGCTCTGCAGATTGCTTTTGGCAGCAGGGCTCTCCAAGGGGGCAGCTCTGGATTAGGAGCTTTCAGACAGTGGGTGCCTGTACACAGCTCCACTGGGAGGTGGCCTGGGCTGGGAATGCTGCATGGGTGAGCTGGTCCATAGGCAAGAGCCAGGCTGGGCTGCCTGCCTCAGCCTGGGCAAGAGCAGCAACAAAACACAAGCCCACCAGAGTGCATCCCAAAATCTACTTCTTTTCCTGGCAAGGCAAGAACAAATGGTGGTGCTTCTGTGCCTTGTGCCTTAAACACAGCTTAAGGGAGTATTGCTGAAATGATCTGTTTTCGGTCCAGGCTGTGCTAGGAGCTGGGTTGTCTGGTTCTGCAATGCGGGAATTGCCTTTTCCCAGCTGCCAGTCTCAAAGTCAAGCTTTCTGAGCACAAATAAAATGGGATATTGCACACACACAGCCCCTTTCAACTGTCATTGATATTTAGCAGAAGGAATATTCAAAACATTATTCCCTCCAATACAGAATGGCTGCTGGGTGTTACCAGACCATGTGAAATGACATCTGAGTGGAATTTTATCAGCAACAAACAAGAAACAAATGAAGAAGGGAGGATTAAAAAATTCCTTTTTTTTTTCTATGTATACTATCATTTGTTATATGTGTGTGTGTGTGTGTATATATATATACACACATGGATTTTTAAATTACTGTTGGGATGTGAAGAAGCAAAGAAAAGGAGCAGACAATGTAAAGTTACTTGTTAAAGCAGGGAATGTTAAGGTGTCAAGCAACGGTTAGGGACATGCTGGGGAGCAGGAGGGTGGTACTTTACAGATATTACTGATGTCAGCACAAATTCTCCACCACTTTCATTAACAGGGGATCAAAGGTTTGATGGGATCTAGAAATACAAGGAGGTTAAAACGTGGCAGGTGTGGGTAACCTCATGTACACAGACCTTTGCCTCAGAAAGGAACGTTCTTGCAAATCTGACATAATCCAATTCCTTGATTTCCTCAGTGACATTTCTGCAGGCTCATGCACAGAAGGACAGGGAAATGGAGATTTATGACAGCTATTCCTAGCAAAGGTCATTTCTTGATTGGTGAACAACCTGTCCTTAGTCATGCTGATGACGAGGCGCTGAAGGATAAGGGAGAGGCTGGAGAGCTTTAAAGCTTGACAGGGAATAAGAGAAATAGAGCACAGATCATCTCTCTACTTGGGCCAGGAAGCTTGAATTCTTCCACAATCAGTCAAAGCCAGGGAACAGGAGGCAAAATCCAGAAAAAACAATACACGGGGATTACTGTGGAGATTGTGAGGGAGTGTGAGTGTCGAGATAGCAAGGGGAAAAGAGGAGCCACAGAGCATGAGTATTTGGTTTGGATAGTAAGGGTGTCCTTGGTGAAACCAGCTGCTTATAAAGAACAGGGTCAGGTTGCTCTGGGGCTTCCCTGGCCAGCCCCACCAAGCTCCCAGCTTGAGCAGCTCTCAGCATCCTGTCCCATGCACTTCCAGGACAACACAAATATTGATGGTACACAAACAACACAAATACACACAAATACACTTCCTCAGGTGTCCTTCCTCGGGCAAGGAAGGCAGCAGATGTGACACACATATGGTTTAAATGGATTGTGTCATACCCATTAAATAATAAAATGGTACCTCCCTGCTCATCACATGACTGTTCTTCCTGCTAGCAGAAGAGATATGACACTGTACATAAAGTGAAGCACCATTTTTTTTTTAATCAGAAGGACCTTTCTGATTACAGAAGGACCCTGATTACAGGACCCTTCTGTGTGAAGGGAGTCACACACGGGTTTTTCACTCAGCTACCGACCTTAAAAGAGAGCATTGGGTACCTTGGTGTAACTAGCTTTGCTTGTTTTCAAGCTCATAATATTGGATTAAGTAAAAATGTGGCCATTTCCCCAAAGCTTGGCTCAGATCCTGAGCTGAGCTATGGTTTGAGCTGGGTCACTGTCACAAACCAGGCTTGTGGCCAGCAAGACCAGTCAAGAGATGTCTGCAATGTGGAAATGAAGTCAACATGGGGGCTCCTTGCTGACCCCTCTGAGTGCTCTGACCCAAGGAGGAGCTTTGGGGCTCTTCATCCATGTCCTTGCTAATCCCTTTTTTGCTATTTATTGGTTCCTCTGGGCTCTGAGCTGCCAGCAGAAGTCACAAGAGCTTTTGAGTTGGTCTGGTGCAAGACTCAGTCCAGTAACCTGAGAATGCTGTGGTGGCCTCTAGCTTCCAATCTGCAGCTGAAGATCTCACCTTCCTCCCACAGTAATTCCTCTCACCCTTTGAACTCTCCTAAGGCTTTTCCCAAAATCACAAGAACTGAGGATGGCTGCTCTTAAAAAGTGTAAAATAGATAACTGGTGGGATAATTGCCTGTGTTGTATTTCTCCCCACACAAGAAAGGCAAAAGCAGCCTTATGCTGTGTACCTCCCAGCCTGGTGTAACTTGAACCCAAAAGCTATGAAGGAAATGGAAAATGTTAATAAATAATGATGTTTGAAACACAAGTCACTGAACAAACCACCAGACCTCCTGTGTTTATTCCACTGGACAGAAAATGTCTATCTCAGTTTGAGGAAAGTAAGATCTTGGTCACAGGTATGTCTTAGGAATTAGCCTGGGTTCTGCAGGTTATTCAGGAGATAAATCAGAGAAGCTCAGGGATTAACTTTTGGTAATATACTCAGAATAAAGCAACTTCTGAAATAAAATCAACACAACTGATTACTTGGTATTTCTCTGGTATGAAGAACCAAGGATCTCCTCAGGGCCACTGGAATTTTAAATTGCCTTGCTTGGTCCACTTCACAGCTGCCAGTTTTCCATCTGGTATTTTCCAAGTCAGCACCAAGCATTTGTGTGCTCCATCCTGCATGTTCTCAGTGTGATGTGCTCTGGAAATCCTGGCCTCATTTCCCAAATGCTAAGCAGGTGATCTGCACTTAAAAAGCCCAGTGATGTCTCCCTCAAGTGTGTTGGAATTACTCTGTGTGTATAGACCAGCTGCAAAACTGGGACAGATACATTAACACAAATGTACAAAATCTTCAAATCTTTTTGCTTAACTTCAAAAATATTCAGGGGAAAGAAAAAAGGATTTTCCAAGAAAATCTGTATGAGTAGTACAACTGTGCAACATTTCAGTGTAACACTTAAAAAAAAAGAGAATCTTCCAGGACAGCTCCAAGTGCACACCCTCTGGCAGCTGGGCTAAGGGCTGAAGAGTAATGCATTACAAGCAAAGGGCTGACCTTTTCAATAGCCCAAATATTCAACCTCTCTGAAGTAACTTAGCTCAGCTTAGGCCTGTGGCCATCCACACACTCATTCTTTCTCTCGTTTCACTCCAGCCACTGAGTGCTGGCAGCCTCTGTGATATGCCACAACAGCAAGAGGCAGCTTAGGGGAAAGGAGGAGAACACTGGGATAAGGAGCTTTCCAGACTGTGGATCAGGCTTGGACTCCATTCGGTTTGTCACGGGAAAGAAGACAGAGGACTGCAAAGCCCTGAGGCTTCAATTTTACAGCTGCTCTCAGAGCTCCACTGCATTATCTTCCTTATTTCCCTGTGCTTCCCCTTGATGGATGGCTTAGTTTCTGACTTGGATGGCTGATGGGTTTAGGATTAGCTCCCGGAGATCCCGCAGAGAGCACTGCCCTGACTCTGGGATTCACCTACAGCAAACGGCGCTTTGGGATCCCAAACTCAAACACACCTGGGCGGGTGTCCAGAGGGCACGGGCAACACGAGCAGCAACCGGAGCAAGCCACTGGTTAATTTTGGATTAATGCTGGAACCCAGCACCGAGGGTTTGCACCTGGGTCCCCACATGGCACTGCAGTGTAGGAGAAGCGTTCTGCCGGCGTGGCTGCGGGGGATTCACGGCCGCATCCCACGGACGCCACCGCTCGCTGCTCCGCTCTCCCGCTAACACCGAACTGCGCACAACACCCAGCCCCGCCGCCTGCCCGCCGCTCCCGCAGCTCAAATCAGCACACCAACATCGTCCTGCCCGCGCTGTTTCATTCCCGCCGCTTTCCCAGCCGCACCCGAACTCCGGAGCCCCCACAGCCCGGGCCTGTGCCGCAGGGCTCGCCTCGGGCCTGCCGTTCCGCCGCCCCCTCCCCACGGCGGGCCCGGCCCCTCCCGCCGCCTCGATCCGCGGCCGCTCGCTCCCTCCAGCCTCCCCGCGGCCGCCTCACGGGAGGCATCACTGGTTTCCCCCCCGGTTCCCTCCGTCCCGTCCCTTCCCGCCGCTCCCGGCCCCGGGGCGGTGGCGGGTCCCGGGGGCGGCGGCGGAGCCACGCCCCTCCCCTGACAGCCCGCTCCTCGCGCCGCGCCCCCCCGCGCCTTCGGGAAGCGCCGCCGCCAGTCGCCGGGCGGTGACAGACGGGCGCGATGGCCTATCGCGTAGCCGCTCCTCAGCAGGACCCGCCTCCTCGGGCTCTGTGGCCAGTCAGAGCAGGGCTGGGGGCGGGAGATGAGGGTCTGCGAAGCCCCCTCTTCTCACCGCCTCCCCCCCTCCGCTGCGCGAGATGATTGACAGGCGCGACATCCAATGGGCTGCGGAGGGCCCGCGGCGGGGCCAATGGTGGTACGGGGGCGGGGCCCCGGCGGGCGGCGGGGGCGGGGGNAGGCGCGGCGCAGCGCCGGCAGGAGGGCGATGGTGGCGGCGTGAGGCGCGCTGCGACCCGCGCTGTCTGCCCGGCCGGCGCGGAGAGCGGCGGGGGAGCGGTGCTCGCCATGAGGCTGCGGGAGGACGGGGACAGCCGCGGGGCGCTGCCGGCGGCGGGGCTGCTGCAGTAATGGGCAGCGGCAGCGCTGACTCTCGCCTGCCGTGTGGTGCCAGCGCGCCCGCCCGGCGGGACCGCCCGCGAGGAGCCGGCGGCAGGTGAGTGCCGCACGGGGAGCCGCCCGTTCCCTTCCCCAGGCCGCCGCTGCCCTCCTCGCTGCCCGCCGGTGGCGTTTTAATTTTTAAACGGCTCCGGCTGGCGGCCAGGGGCGGGGGGCGCTGCCCCGGCGGGCCGGGCGCGGAGGTGACACGGGCTGCCGAGGCGGAGCGGGGCGCTCCCCGGGGACCCTCTCTCCCGGGGGCCGTTCCACCTCGGGCAGCCTCCGAGCCAGCTTTGATGCCATCCTGCCCTGACTTCTCGCCAGCTGCGGCCAGCTTGTGCTTCCCTGTATTCCTGATGAAGAGGCTTTTCCCCCCGCACCCAGCGCGGATGCTGCTTTCCTGCCGAGGGAGGAGACCCCACCTGGGCTTCTCCTCTCCCTTTTCACCTCCCTGATGATCATTCCTCAGTGCAGGATGGAGAGACATTTCCATTTCAATATGATGCAGCGAGGAAGATGGGGAATCCTGGGTAGCCAGGACTCGGGAAATGCCCCTTCCTCTCTCATCCTCCTCCTCACCCTGGCACAGGCGTTTGGGCAGCAACACTCCCTTTCTGTCTTCTTGGCTTTTCCTTCTCTTTGGACAGAGAGATGGAAGCGGGAGGTGTGTTAGAGGAAACAACTGTTACACCTTTTGTCATCAAGACAAAGAACTTCATCTCCCGGTGTCCCTCCCTCTGGGTGCATGTTGGCAGCACCTCAGCCACTTTGCGCTGCTTCCCGGAGATGCTTCACGAGGATTCGGTGTGGCCCTGAGCTGCCCTTTTTTGTTGTTGTTGCCAGTTGTGATGCTGCTGATAATAGGATATGTTGATATGTTTCTGAACAGTCTCGTGGTTTGAATTCCTGAAATTGCTGCAGTATTTTTATTTATTTATTTAATTGGGGTTGGGGGGGTGTGTAGATGACAGCAGGAAAGGGCTGTGTTCTTGTGGTTGCTTGTAGTTCTTTGAAAGGTACGAGATCACGTGCAATTGCAGCACTTAGTGAGAAGTGTATTAACCAATGCTGTCTCTTCTCCCTCTCTTATTTGTCTTCCAGTCCTGCAGTCTTCCCTTCATCTGCTGTGTGAAGAATGATGATTCCATGAGAGAACTTCCTCTCCATTACCTGCCTACTGCTACTGCATGCTGCTCCTGGCCAGTGACGAGCCATTCCGCTAGACTGGGATTTACCCTGAGGAGGGGACAGGCAGAATATGAATTGTAGACATCCTGTCAAGTTTCTCCCCCACTCTTTTTACTGTGTCTGTATATAAACCTGTATCAAGCACACACGCTCTTTAAACCTCCGCTGGGATTCACGCAGTTGCTGCTGTGTAAGAGGACTGGTATTTCTCACCACCATGGCTTCAGTTTGGAAAAGACTGCAGCGTGTTGGGAAACATGCATCCAAGTTCCAGTTTGTGGCCTCTTACCAGGAATTGATGGTTGAGTGCACCAAAAAATGGTAAGAAGCAGCTCATGTTGCTGTAAAAAAATAGTGGAGTAAGTTGCTGATGCTGAAATAGGAAGGATGTTGCTCACTGTGTATTGTGTGGTAGGTGCATGCTCTTGCATCCCCTCAGCTTCTCTTGCCAGCCCATTGCAGAAGCAGCTGCATGAGCTGCTTGTCTTCCTCAGTGGGTGCTGGCTTTGCTGCATGGTTACCCTGGACCTGCTGGATTTGTTCTGTGCTATTGATTTTCTAGGCAGGCATTGTTTTTACCTTGCAGGGGAGGGTACATTTGTCAGCTCGCATCTGTGACTTGGTGTGGTTTTGGTTGTCAGTTTTGTATTTTTAGTGGGGCTTTTTGTTTGGTTTTTATTGTTGTTTTTTTTTAAATGTTTCCCATGAGGTCTTTTCCAACTGCCAATTCAGTGTGGTGATGCTGAGGGTTGTCTGCTGACACTGGAATTGTTTGACGGGTGCATTGGAGATCAGTCCTGGACATGGTGGTCATGGGACATATGGGTTGGATGCCCATTTTGATTTTTGACTTCCTTACCTTAGGAGGTCAAGTTTCTCCTTCTTCTTTTCCATTTTTCCTTTCTATCTTTTAATAGGAAGGGGCAAGAGGCAGGTCCTTGGGAATTGCCTTAAGGTGTTTGTTTAATCAGACAGGAATTCTGTTCGGTGGTGGTCCAGTTGGATGGCTTTGGAGCTGACTAGACAGCAGTTAATGGTGTGAGTCTGGCACGTCTTCTTTCCTGTGCAAAATGAGCTTAAATAAATCTGCTAGGCAAGACTAGAAGCAGCTTTTAAGTAGTCAGCAGAAGATCTCCATTATATAAATACTTAACTGCTGTTTTATATGTTTGGAATATTGATATTACTGACATAATTCCTCACATTAGTGTGAGCATGTAGTGTCAGGGGATGAAGAAAATACTTTCCAGACCTTGTGGACTGAGATGTTCAAATTGTCTTGTAATAAACTGCAGCCTCCTTTCTAATACTTGGCCTTTCTTCTTGTTGGCAAGTTTGGCACATGCATTGGCTGCTTTCACTGGTTATGAGTAATTGCCTCTACAAATTTAAATTCTATCTCTTGGAGTAGGAAATCTCTGTCAAATATGCTGGAAGGCTGAGCACTGCTCTGTATTAAAGGAGCACTGTCAGATTAAATGT